CGCGGGTCAGTGTACAAGCTGAGGGTGGGGGCATGTAGGCTATATGCAGACACTGCCATTTTGCCCATGGAGCCGACGGGGGCTCTTTAAATGGTACCTGTAAGGTTGGAAAATATGTGAGCCATGATTGCTGAATTTGTTTTAAAAATATGAAAGCTACGAACTTGTCATTATGATCCTGGCTTCTCTAACTGGAGAACCAGTGACCTAGGAGAAGCATACTAGACAGAGTTCACTAGTTTTAGACTTCAATTGACACATGCATGCTCCAGGTCAGTGACACATTGAGGGGAATTTATCATAACTGGAGCAGTTGCCCAGGGCAACCAATCAGCTTCTCTTTTCTGTTTGTGAAGTTAAGATTTGAAAATGAAAGAGATGCTCCAGTTTTTGTCTGTTCCAAGATCAGGATGACATCTCTCCAGTTTGAATCTTTAAAAAGAAAACCGTGTATCTGCTTAAGTTGCTTCTATGTGGCAGGATAGTGCATAAAAGTACCATTAAGCGATTTATTTCTACTGTGGAAAGTCTGCAAAGATTGCAATGTGCCCTTCATACTTTTATTGTGAAAGATTTTGTATTAATATGAAGATTGCACTGGGAGTTACACAGTAACAAACTGCTGTCTGCAGAAACATGAAAGTGGGTTTTGGTAGAATATTGGTCTTTGTTGCACTTTTATCTGCAAAAACGTGTATAAGGGTTATGATGTGATTGAGTGTATCGGCTTTAATCAGCCACTGCTGCTGGTACGCGTCGCTGTAAAACTGGGCTTATTCAGGTAAGCAATGCAAACTGCAGGGATATTCAGCATAACCCAACAGCAACCAATCAGGCTTCAGATTTAGGTCAGATTGGAGCAAGATTAATTAAATCCTGTTACGAGTTACAGCATTTTGCACATTTGCCACAATCTGAGCATGCCCAGCCATGGAAACGGACAGACTATTTTTATTTTACAAACATTGCTTACACAGGGGAGGAGGATCCACAATATAAGGAGGGCGAGTTCTATACCTCAAATGTCATCTTAGTACAAGAACACCAACCCTGTCATAGAAAGCATGTGACAACTACATGCAATCCAGATGTACTTTCGGATAATTAATGGACATAGTACTTATTTTAGCAGCCTGCACTGCTAATAAGATGCAAAGCCACAGATATTGAAGACATAATTAAATCTTGCTGTCACACAGCTTCCATACTTATGCAACAAACCTTCATTATACGCAAATTATAGCAGTATTTCTGTAATTAGACAGAAGCCTGGTATAGCTGACATTTGTTGGCACTGGCAAGTTAAAAATAATTACCTGGACTGCATCTTTGGTCAGCAGGGCATGAGCCATTTAAAACCAGCCTTTCACTACAGCAATCTGAGACCTGGCAGAAACAAACAAGTGAAGATTAATCTTATTGCCAATTACATCTATGTTTATATATAGACTGAACAATACAAAACCATCTAACAAGAACTCGGAGAGAGGGGCAACAATGTGATTTTTAATGTTACCAACAAAACTGGCACACGGACATACTGCTTCCAATCAGGTAATGGTTTCTTAATAGGCTAGTATTGGGAGACAATTAAAGGACACCCTCAGATTGGCTGGATTGTAGTAGACATGTTCCATCTTCCTAAATAGCCAAACTATAGTTATACCTTAGAGTGCACATCAGACTAAAATAAAAATATATATTCAGTACATCTCTGCAATAAATGTACATTTCTCCTTGTTTTATCACTTCCAAATTCCCTGCAAGTACAAAAATAAATAAATACCAGTTGACCTGCCAGAAATGTATACAGTTCCTTAAAGTGACATTACATTCAGGAATTAAATCTTAAAAATGCATTCAAATACCTTAACTAGTAACAAAAATGTATCTTATTTGTGTATCGCTCAGCTTCAGATCCTCAAATCATCTCTGAATTGGTGCCGACACTGTCCTTCCTTCTGGAGGGTGACTACTTTTGTTCCCCATGGTCCCTGTGTGTGTTGTAAAGTAGCCACTGCTCCAAGCCCGCTCTTGTGATGGGCTACAATCTCAATACAAATTAGTAAACTAAACATGAGATTGTAGTCCATCGCAGGAGCGAGCATGGAACACACGCAGGCAGTGGCCGACCTAATAAACAAAGTAGCGTGCTGGACTTACCCGAGACCCTGCAGAGCACACCATAGATCCTGCATAGCCCACCTGAGAGTCTCTATGGTGGGCTCTGCAGGGTCCCAGGTGGGCTGGTCTGGTCGTCTGGTCGTCAGGGTCCCTTTCCCAGTACATCCTCCAAACTCTTCTTACCTGCTGCTGCTAGGGCCCGGCCTCCTCCACCCCCTCCCCTGTCACCTCTGCCATGCCGGTACAGTTGATACCCATGTAAGAGGCCCCCCATGCCTGTCACATGGGTACCGGTCATACCCCCCCGATGGCGGTGTTCTATCAAAGTTTGTGACCACGTTAGAATGTGTGATCGGTGACGTGGTCACACGTTTTAACGTAATCCCGCCAGGTTTTTTTGCGGTTGAATGTGTGACCGCCAATAGGTGAAGCATTCCAGCGCTTTCCAACTGTTCCAGGGCAGATCGGCATCGCAGATCGTATATGTGCAGGAGAACAGATCAGCCCTGAAACAGCTGATCGGTCCTGAAATGTCACTTCTATCCGATCTCACATTCCACCGTACTCACAAAGTCGGATAGAAGTGACATTTCAGGACAGAACAGCTGTTCCAGGGCAGATCGGTTCGCCTGCATATACGATTTGCGATGGCGATCTGCCCGGGAACAGATTACAAAGCGTTGGAATTCTTCACCTATTCCACCACTGAAAAACTGGGCGAGATTACGTTAAAATGTGTGACCACATCACTGGTCACACATTGTAACGTGGTCTCAAACTTTGATAGAACAGTTTGTATCCAACAGTAAACCTAAAATTTCAACATACTCTTATTTGCTGGGAGTTTCAATGCAGAACAATACACCAGTCATTGGGCATTACCAAGAAGCGAGAGAAGTTTAAATGCAATTCTAAGAGATTAAAAAATAGTAATACAAGTGGCTGAAATACTTGGCTTTTCTGAAGAACTCTGCTATAGGCTCCCTTGTGTGTTGTCCACATATCTGAAGACCTAGGCCAGTCTAAACTCTAATCCCAACTTAACAGAGATCGCCTAAGATTTTAGATAGGAGGCCAGCGCTGAAAAGTGCACTCCAGTCAAACCTGAAAATTAGGAGAACGGCTCACCCGTTTAGTGTTATCAACCAGGTAATCTTCTTTTGGCGCAAGAGATGAATTCCCAAACACTCTATGCAGGCTCCTTGCTAGGTTTCACATAAAAATGGCTTGATGTTCAATACAAAAATATATATATATATATCAGAGCTGGACAAATCCCAGGATCCATGGCGATCTTAAAAATAATAGCTGGTGTCTAACTTTTTGAGGTTTCTAGTTGTTGTCCATGGAGCTGGCTCCTAAAGAAAATCCTGCTGGCTTCTGGATTGGATAGACTGGCTCCAAAGTTCCACATTAATTTGTTTGCCCGATATATGGTAAGCACAAAGAAAATCTCCCAGCCACCAATCAGATTCAAACTTGCCTGGCATGTCTGAATGCGATTTGTGATACTGAATATAGAGTGGGAAAAGTAGGTCAACGTTCAAGGCCCTCAACCTTTCCTGCCACTGGAATTCCAGCTGCCGGCTAAGGAGCTCAACTATGCTCACAGCTAGAGGAGAAAGGAATCTGCACACCAATGACATCAAAAAACTTTAAAAGGAGTACTATGGGGTAAGTGTTTTCCCCCATAGTTCTCCTAAGGGTCACGGGAGGACATACAGGTAAAACTCAAATAATTAGAATATCGTGCAAAAGTTAATTTATTCTATCTTGCTTTGCATGTAATGAGTCTATCTCATATATTAGTTTCCCCTTTTAAGTTGCATTAGTGAAATAAATCAACTTTTGCACGATATTCTAATTATTCGAGTTTCACCAGTATACTAGCGTCCTCCCGTGACCCAAAGCTCAGTAGCTCGCGCTATACTGAGACCGCCACAGCCGGGATGGATCCTGACATTTCTGTCGAGATCCACCCAGCTGCGTGAGTGACAGCTGGCTTTTCCTATCTAGAGACAGAGCCAGCTATACCCGCCCCCTCCTGGGCTGGGGGGAATCGGAGAGGGGGGAATCCGAGAGTGACAGTCATGGCTCTCTGCAGGGAGATGATCGAGAAGTGAGCGAGCGACGGTATGTGTTTCGCTTACTTCCCGATCTATTGAGCAGACGTGTGACAGTTTCATTGTCCCAGGTCGGCTCAGATTATGAGGATGAGTGATTTTCACTCGCCTCACAGTTCTCCTTAACGTCTGGATCTCTGCAAATCAAGCCTGCATTGGATGAAACACGTTAGTGGGGAGGTCCCAGGAAGGGGCTGCTGTGTATTATGTCAAGACTCATATAATCTTTTCAAGGTCTGACATCATCAGTGTTCGACTTCCTGTTTCCTACCATACAGAGGCTTCAGAAGTAGACTCCTAGTGATCCTGTGGGGTGCTCTCTAACTAATGGCAGCCTAAATCCAAAGAACTCAGATTACATAGTATTTGATAATCCCACATCTAGTCTGTGTTTAGGTTTTGAAATAAGTTTTGAAATAAGTTTTCCCATTTTATTTAAGTGATCGAAGGTGAACTTTCTAAGCTTAGTACATTGCAGTGTTTGCTTGTTAGCATTAGAAGATTACTGACAATAATTAAGCTTACAATAATTGCCTGAAACTACTTTTACAGGGAGCCTGGAGCAGAATGTTGTCCAGTAAATGTAAATATTTCAGCCCTTCTGTTGCGATCTATTTATCCATCTCAGAATAATAGCAAACATTGCTTTGTGTTAACATTTGAGTGTTCTTTCCACTTTAAATTGAAATTTCCAGTGTGACAGTATTGTGAATGCATGCATGTATCTGCTCCCTATCAACTGTCACTTATCTTTCAGTTCCTCGTATGTGTCCTAGGTCTAAAGGCCCTATGAGAAGATCAGAGCAAGGAACACGCCAATAAAGACAAATACTATCAAATACATACCAAAGAGCTCACTGATTCTCCCAAGGATTCCACAACTAATCTTCCCAGGAGAATGATGCCGGGTACAGCCATTCTATTACAAGAAAACCACCATCAGACATGTGTATTGGTATCCAAGTAGCAGAAAAAAAAACAGTGTCAAGAGAAGACAAATGCACGAGGGACAACCACAGCCTTAAATGCCCTTTCATTGTCTTATTCTCTCTCTCTCTGCATATATACTGTATGGGGCACTTTATGTAGACTGGAGTAAAGAAATAGTGGCGTGCGAATGGATTACAGTTGCCAATTTTTGTGTGAAGGTTAGACAATACTGATGCATCTGATTGGTAGACATGGGCAGTACACTTTTCCTTCACTTGTACAAATATGAAGCAGTATCAGAACTCTTTAACAATGTCCTCTGAAATTAAAGGAGAACACTTGGTAGTCCTAAAGTGAATCTCCAATCAACAAAATGTTCTCAGGTATCTGGGGTTTGATAGGGCCTATGTCAATGGGTTTTCGTTCGCTTCAGGCATGTATTGCAATCCCATACAAGTCTATGAATATGCAAAACTGACTTGAAGCAGGTCAAATGCAGGTCAGAAGGAGGTCCACCACAGGTTACATACACCTGTCAATAAATTTGGAATGAGTTCAGAAGTGTCTCAAATTAATAACAAACTGATGGTACTGACACAAGCCCCAAGCCTGTCAACACAGACCCTTACAAAGAGTTTCCCTCACTTCCTGCCCTAGTGACAACAGTTTCATCACACAGGAAGATAGGTTATATCTCTAAAAGCAAAAGCAGACCAAAACTATTTTTTTTGTTAAGCAGGTTAGAGGAAAGTCAAGAACCCCCATTAACTTTGTACTGATGTCTGTGCCTGTTGCAGATTTGCCCACACTTCCTGTCTAGTAAAAACATTGTCACCAAAACAGCAACAAAGTGATTCATAACTCTAAATATGGAATATGGTTCTTGGTGCCATCTAACGGTGGTGGTGCCATGTGAAAGGCATCTGCCCAACGTAAAGAGTGATAAACAGATACATAGTGAGGAAAAATCTCTAACAGAGCCCTGGACAGCAGTAAAAACCAGACTTGGGTTGGGGTTCTGATCCGTCCTCACGCTATCTAAAAAAAAAAAATTATGGCGGGATGTACACTTTAAAAAAAAAAGGTTATTTCCCCTCATAATCCACAGAATGGTGTCTGCAATAGAAGCTTGAAATTACTTACCAATCCAGTATGCAGGGCTTCTGATTTCAAGTGATGCAGCCTCTACTCAAGTCTACTCTATAAAGTCTTTAGCATTTTACGCTTCCAGAAGTGCCTGGGAACTCAGGTGTAGGTTATGCACCTTGGGACTCCCTCACATAAAATTCATTGACTTGTCCAGGAAGGAGTGGGGGGACGGACGGGTTTGTTTTGATCTTGATCAAAGTTGTTGGAATTAGGAGAACCTGATGGACATCACGCTTCGAATCTCGGCCGGTTTGATTTGAAGTGTGGGTGCTGCTGTTGGCACCTTTCGGACCGGCATCCCTCGATCAGCTGATCGAAGAAGCATGTTGAAATCATTCTTGGCCGAACAGAGTGAGCAGCCAATAAGCTGGTCACTCTGGGTATTCTGACAGCGGCTGCTGTCAAAATACAATGGGGGGAATTTATTAAAACTTTAGCAGACAAAATCTGGAGCAGCTGTGCATGGCAACCAGCTTCTCTCTTCAGTTTGTTAAGTTAAGATTTGAAAATGTAAGCGAGAAGCTGATTAGTTGCCGTGCATAGCTGTTCCAGATTTTGTCTGCTCCAGTTCTGATAAATTCCCCTCATTGTTAACTGCGGGAGATTCCTTGATCAATGCTCAAAAGCATGAGTAGAGGAATCTTTTCTATTTTCTTCGTTCAGCCGGCAGGTTGAATGAAGAAAATAGAAAAATGTGTCTACCCAACTTTATATCCACCCTAGTAATTGGAGGATGAGGTTAAACAGGGAGGCCAATTCATTGGGCGCTATTTAAAAATCCAGTTTTAGTGGAGGGGTTGGGCTGGCTGGAATACAAAAGGTATTTTTACGACCTAGTCATAGCACACCATTGATCGATTTTTAGCCGACTTCCCTTTTAGCGCTCCTCTATTTTAAAGACCAATCCTTGCCCTTGCAAAGCCAAAATAACTTATTTTTTTCCTGCCTGGTTGCTATGTAACCAAGAACGTTATCAGTAAGCCTGTGGATGAGTTTCACATGCAAGGATCTGCCATTAAAAGAAAAATCAATGTAGCTTGGAGGAACGGTTACAGTGTGGAACAGCTGATAATAAGAGCCTAAATCACCGTGGCATGCCATCTGCGAGTGACAGGGAGATGGGTCGAGGGAAACCAATTCCCAGCACACACTGCCTGCACAGTCACCGCAGCAGCAGATGAAAAGGTCACGCATAACAATCATGCATAGACAAAACCTCTGCTTGTCACAGATATAGATACAGCGTGGATAATCTCTCTATTTGATATTCAATTCTGGAAAGACTGTCAGAGCCATGCCGTACATCGAGACAGGATGGCTGCTCACAGAGATTAGTTACAACCACAACTCCTTATGCTAATACAATAAAAAAAATACTTATGAAAAGTCATTAAAAAGTAGACATTTTGTAACACAATTTTATATTTAGAAATAATTAAACACGTCAATGAATTATGTAGTGAAAGGAACTCAAGAACTAAAATGGAGCTTGTTCACATGGAAGTTTGTAGCCCTATATTTCTTGGTCATATTTTTGTATTTGAACCTGTCCCATCCTCAAAAAGCTCCTGTGTAAAGCTGGCCATACACCAATTGATTTCTTTGTTCGGAACAGAGATAGGAAGGGCTGGGAAAAAATTGGAAAAATAAGGGGTGGGGTTTCCCCTTTTTTTTTCCAAGGCCGTTTTAATTTTTTTCTGGAAAAATTGAAATAAAAAAAAAAAAGGAGTGCGGAATATGTTCTTTTAAAATGATAAAATAATATATCTTTGACATGGTATTCAAACTATATAACGTGAAGAACTTAAAAGGAGATCTATGAGGTGAGTGAAAATCATAGTTCGAGCCGATGTGTGACAATGAAACTGTCACACGTCGGCTCAAATGATCGGAAGGTGAGCGAATGCATTCCGTTGCTCGCTCACTTCTCGATCATGTCCCTGTAGAGAGCCGTGACTACTAGTCACGGCTCCCTGCAGGGATTATCCAACCCCCCCATCCCCCACCCCGCTCCTCCAGTGCTGACGCTCCTCTAGATAGGCAGAGCCAGCTGTCACTCACGCAGCTGGGTGGATCTCAACAGTAATGTTGGGATCCGTCCCGGCTGCGGCGGTCTCAGTGTACCGCAAGCTGTAGCTGGCGATATACTGAGCTTTGGGTCACGGGAGGACGCTAGTTTATGTCCTCCCATGACCCTTAGTAGAACTATGGGGAAAAGCTCTTACCCCATAGTTCTCCTTTAATGAAAGATTTCTGAGACTTTATGTAAAGTTAAATTATTGCACATGGTCTCAGCTGAAGACAATCAAATCCTGGAATACAATACAAGTAACACTGTACTTCTCAGAGGAATTCTTAAACTCAAAAAGTAATACGCATTTCTGCCACTAGTGGCACTGCAGAGGAAAGGCTCCAGATTAATTAGCTTGTGGACTCTATCTTGCACCTTCTACAGTTGGGTGATTGTTGGTGTTATAGTAAATTATAGTTTCTGTCCTCTCAGGTAAGAGGGGACATTTGTCTGACAAATTAGTTTACCTTTATAACCTTCAAAGGATTCCTAATAATGTTCTCCCCCATCACAGTATAAAAAGTTTACCTGTAGTCTGCTCAGTAAATAGTTTTTTTTCCTCCTCTCAGTAAAATGGTGAGACCAACATCTAGAGTTTGGAAACATTTCTGCAGTGAAACTTCTGCTGAGAGCAAAGCTGCAATTTGCAAACATATTCTTGCTTGTTTTGTGGCTTTTGAGGGAAAGGGGGTGGTTACCTGTTCTCATGTATAGTTGAAATGTTATTAACATATACAGTCCTTGTTATTCCATTTGTAATAAAAAATTACATTTTAAAATTAAAGTTTAGTTTATTTACTGAATAAGCTGTACTTATATTTCAAGCACAATACTTTTATATACACTGCATTTCACATTCCTAGAGTAACAAAATGACTTTCACTTTGTAAAACTACTCCACATTTGTTTTTTCAATTTGTCCTAAAATTTCAATTTTTCAGGAAAAAAAAAAAAAAGGGAAACATAACGTTTTTTCTGATGGCTTCAAAATTCCCAGAAATTTTACATCTCTAGTTCAGAATGTAGATTGAGCACAAAAAAATTAAAAATCGAAAAAGTATGGATGGATCTCCTGCTGCTATTGTTTTCTCATAGCCAGCACCTGCTGTTGTCAGAATACATGTACAGTAACTACAGCTGATTAAGCAAATGACTTGAGTCAGCAGGGCCACCCCACTAGAAGAATTTTGGGCAATTCCAACAGTGTATGGCTAGCCTTAAAAGGAGATCTATGAGGTGACTGATTTCCACTGATCCTCAGTTAGAGCCGACCTGTGACAAATAAGATGTCACAGGTCGGCTCTATTGATCGGGAAGTGAGCAGAAACATGTCGCTGATCCACTCACTTCCCGTTCGTCTCCTTGCAGTGAGCGGAGACTGTCACCACTCCACTCAGGGATTCCCCCCTCCCCTCGCCAATCCTTCAGCACTGAGTGGAGGAACAGACATGGCGGGCACAGCTGGCTCTGCCTCTAGATAGGATAAGATTGAAATATTCAGGGAAATTGACTTACACAGTCCATAGGTAACATAAATGCCCACATTTACTTTCTACGACATAACATGATTTAAGGAGAGAAGGGCTCAGTGACAAGTGCCTGCTCGTCTTAGTTCGGCAAACTTCTCAGGAAAGTCCAACTTGTCCGCTACAATGTGCTGCTGAAAAAAAAAAAGAATTAGTCATCTGTAAAGTGTAGAATGCAATACAACCAGATAATCTACAGTATGCCATACAGACCATCACACATACCATGGTACACTAGATCATGTGCTGACAATATTACAGTGTTTAATAGACATGTGCGCCCGTAAAACAAATTGTTTTGGATTTTTCATTTTTTCGTTTTTTGGCATTCAGGTCCAAAAGTGGGATTCGGACAAAATCTGAATTTTTGTTAATTTTGTTCGCAGTATTATGTACGAACGCATTTTCATTACAGCAAAGTGACATTAGACAAAAAAAAAAAGTTGCCGAAGAGAAAAAAAAAAAAAAAAGTGCTTCCCTTGTTAGGACCTCTGTCAGATACTTATTGCGGTCTTTGTCCCCACTGGGGAGATTTTTTTTTTCTTCAATGTAAGGAATTTTTCAAAAGTGTGGTTTGTTTAATTACATTTAATCCTATAGTGAATGACAAGGGCTAACAACTACCCCTTGCTCATTCACAAGTTGTGGGGCTGACATTTGGTCACCTCCTCTATGAAAGGGGATACCCAGATGCAAATGAGCCCCCTGCCAACAGACCCCCACAACCATCGGGCCAGGGTTGTGGGGAAGAGGCCCTTGTCCTCATCGGCATGGGGACAAGGTGCTTTTTCGTGGTTTTTTTTTCTCCCCATGTGGCTGCCAGGTCAGGGCCTGGTTTAAAATTTTAGAGGAGACCTCATGTTTTTTCTTTTTTTGGTGTTGGGGTCCCGCTTAAAATTCCTACCACACCTAAAGAGTGGGGTTTTTTTTTAGCCCAACACTTTTTTTCTGGACATTGGGGGTCCCCCCTAACATTCCTAGTTTACCTAAAGGGTCTGGTATCAATTAAGGGGAACCTCACACTTATTTTTTTAGTGCAGTTAGATGCAGGTAAAATAGGACAAGCAGTACTTTTTCTGACTACATCTGAATGGACTGCAATGGTGTGAATTAGGCACAAGAAAGCCCATAGGCCTAATGTTGTGATGTATTTTGACTGCAGCAGTCAAAATAAACGGGTTGCTCATTGACTCTCTACCTCTTCTGAAAATCTGTTCCAAGCATCCACTACTCTATCAGTAAAAATATTGAAAAAAGTCACTTTTGAGCTTTCCTCCTGCTAGTTTGAGGTTATGTCCCCGTGTTCTTGATCTTAGCTTCATATTCAGAATACTGCCCTCATAAACCTTGTGCACATTCCTAATCTGTTCGGAGGTTTCAATCAGCCTCCGGTCTTTGAGGCTATACATAATAAAACTGCAAGAAACTAAAAAAATGCACATACCTCTCCATTCTAGGCCTTGGTTCATGAACTCGAAGTTTACTATGTGGAATAATGGACAGTTTTCAGTAAATAGTGTTCTTTACAAGAGCTTCTGATTGTTCTTGAAAAATGCAAAACAAATAAAATATAAGAAAAACCCCAATTAAGTCTCATGCAAGGTCATAGCGGTCATATAAACAGCATCTAAAAACAATCTCTCCAGGTATCCGATCACTTTCTTTATGAAAACAAGTTTTACATACAGCAGCTACCTGATGGAGATCTAGAAGTGATTTAAAAGTGCGACAGGAAGAAGTACTTCCTTCCTGCAAATTCTGACCAAGGTGAGATGTTGACATTGGCTGCTTTTAATAACATGAAAATATTGAAAGAAGAAAAAAACTATCGGAAAGGGTTTTTATATTTGTTTGTATAAACAAGCAATGGTCAGCAAAATAGAATTTGTTCTACACTGAATACTTGTCCTACCATTTGTTACCAGCATCTGAACTGTTCTTGCTGACCCTAGTAATCTTCCATTTCATGTGTTCGCTGCAGTATGAGAAATAGAAAGGCAGAAACAAATTATTCCTTATTCTTAAAGCCCAACTCCGGCCTTTAGGCGTATTTGAGTCTCTATCTCTACGACTAAGCCCGGATAGGGTGAAACGCGTCAGTGTGCGGATCTGAGATGGAACTAAATGCTGCTGTGTGATCTGTACCAACTACAAAAAAATATCGGGAAGTGAGATACAAAGTGCAGCCGGATTATTTTCTTTTATTCGGGTTAAAGCAGTTAGATATTACGTTGCCAGAAAAGCAACCCCACCCCCATATCTGAATACTGAAATTACATTATTATTAATATTATACAGGATTTATACAGCGCCAACAGTTTGTGCAGCACTTTACAATATAAGAAAGACATTACAATTACAATACAATTCAAGACAAGATGGTAAGGAGGGCCCTGCCCCTGAGGGCTTACAATCTAAAGGGAGGGCGAAGTGATACATGAGGAGGTAGCTGTGTGGGGATGAATTGTTTGAGTACATGTTGATTGAGTGGTTAGGTTGAGGTGGGATAGGCTTCCTTGAAGAGATGAGTCTTAAGGGATCGCCTAAAGGCAGTCAGAGTGGGAGATACACGGACAGGTTGGGGTAGAAAGTTCCATAGGATGGGAGAGGCTCTAGTGAAGTCCTGGAGGCGTGCATGGGAGGAGTTGACGAGGGAGCTGGAAACCAGAAGGTAATTCAAAGAGCGGAGGGGACGGTTAGGGTGATACTTTGAGACAAGGTTTGAGATATATCCGGGGGCAGAGTTGTGGATAGCTTTGCAAGTGATTGTTAATATTTTGACTTTTATCCTATGGGCGAGTGGAAGCCAGTGGAGGGATCGGCAGAGGGAGGTTGCAGACACTGAGCGGTTGGTTAGGTGGATGAGTCTAGCAGCTGCATTCATGATAGACTGAAGGGGGATAGCCTGTGTAGAGGTAAGCCAATGAGGAGGGAGTTGCAATAGTCAAGACGAGATATAACAAGTGAGTGGATGAGTAATTTTGCCATTCCATTAGTGAGGAAGGGGCGTATTTTAGAGATGTTGCGAAGGTGAAGGCGGGATTAGCTCACAATCTACTTCCAGCCACCCAAATGCAAGCCCTGCAGATCTCATAGACCCGGGCACTGCAGTCTTGTCTCCAACTTCCTCTCCTGCAGGCCTTTCACAAAACACACAGCCCCTGGAGCTACCAGACCTGCAGTACTTACATCAGAGAGGCTGGAAGTACAGCAGGAGTAGTACTAATCCCGGCATGTAAACTACCAGGAACACCAAAAACACAAAATGCACAGCTCACCCCTGTCATGCATCCATGTAGTCCACATTTGGTGCAAGGATAACCCTCTGGAGTAATTGTCTCAAAAACTGCAAAACCGGCACGCTGTGTTCTTCCAAAGAAAAACAAAAGTTATTCCACATGCATCTGTACAAAAAAATCCCTGCCGGGGGGGGAAGTGACTGACAATCATCGCTCTCTGCAGGAAGAAGACCGTGAGCTGGATGATCTGTGCTTACATGATTGCTCTGCTCTCAGTATAGAGTTAGAGCCGGCATGGTGGTACACTGCACCTGTCACACTCCAAGTATTGGGAAGACTTTATTTTACTCTCCCAATACTTCTCATTGAAGACAGTTCTTACTGGAACAAGTGTCCCCAATGGAAGTGTCCCCTCTATCGGCTCAATACACAAACCTTAAAGGCTGGCACAGACCTGGCCGATCCTGGACACGTCCCGGGCCTGCGCAACGTTTGCTTTTGAACACAGCGGTTGCCGCGTGGCAATGGGGTTACATGCGCGCGGCAATCGCAGAAAAAAGGTACATGTACCTTTTTTTGTGACACACAATGCACGGCTGTCTTAGATTGCACGGGCATGTTCGATTGCACGGGCGTAATCGCAACGGTCCGCCCGGCGCGACTGGAGAGCCATTAGAAAATAATGGCACTGCCAGTGCGATCAGCAGTGGTGGGCAACTCCGTGACCGCATGGCAATCCGTGCGGTATTGTGCCCGATTGCCGTGCGGTCACTGATCGCGCAGGTGTGAACCTGGCCTCAACCTTGAGTCCATGTTCACACCTGGGCGTCTTCAGTTTTTCCATACGATATTTTGTGCACGTTTATGCATTAAAAACATGTGTTTCTCCCTGCACAACAGGCTGGAGGGCAGGAGTTGCCCACCCCTGCTCCAGGGGTTACAAGGGGTTTTTTAAGCTGTGGCGGATTGATCTCCAGACTGATCATCAATGTAAGGGGCAATGTATTGACCAAAAGTGTAAAAGAGTCCTTCTTCCACTGACCACCAATGTAAGAAACCACAACATTGACAACCAGTGTCAAGGGGTCCTTCTTCCACTGACCACCAATGTAAGAAACCACAACATTGACAACCAGTGTAAAGGGGTCCTTCTTCCACTGACCACCAATGTAAGAAACCACAACATTGACCACCAGTGAAAAGGTGTCCTTCTTCCACTGACCACCAATGTAAGAAACCACAACATTGACCACTAGTGTAAAGGGGTACTTCTCCCACTGACCACCAATGTAAGAAACCACAACATTGACCACCAGTGTAAAGGGGTTCTTCTTCCACTGACCACCGGTGTAAAGGGGTCCTTCTCCCACTGACCACCAATGTAAGAAACCACAACATTGACCACCGGTGTAAAGGGGTCCTTCTTCCACTGACCATAAATGTAAGAAACCACAACATTGACCACCAGTGTAAAGGGGTCCCTCTCCCACTGACAACCAATGTAAGAAACCACAACATTGACCACCAGTGTAAAGGGGTCCTTCTTCCACTGACCATAAATGTAAGAAACCACAACATTGACCACCAGTGTAAAGGGGTCCCTCTCCCACTGACAACCAATGTAAGAAACCACAACATTGACCATCGGTGTAAAGGGGTTCTTCTCCGGCTGACCACCAATGTAAGAAAACTACATTGACCACCAGTGAAAAGGTGTCCTTCTCCCACTGACCACCAATGTAACGAACCACTACATTGACCACCAGTGTAAAGGGATCCTTCTCCCACTGACCACCAATGTAAGGAACCACTATATTGACCACCAGTGTAAAGGGGTCCTTCTCCCACTGACTACA